GGGACACAGGCCGAGAGGTGGGGCACAGGCCGAGAGGTGGGACACACAGGCCGAGAGGTGGGACACACAGGCCGAGAGACGGGGCACAGGCCGAGAGACGGGGCACAGGCCGAGAGGTGGGGCACAGGCCGAGAGGTGGGACACAGGCCGAGAGGTGGGACACAGGCTCCTGCTCCTGGTGCCAGCACCCGGGGCTCAGACTCCGTGGAGAGGCTGCCTTTACGCCGCGGATGATTTGCTCCCCAAAGGGTCCCTGGTGAGCTACGGGGGTGTGTGTGAAGGGGACACTCACCCTGGGGACCTCATTTATTCCCCTTGGACCTTGTGCCCAAGGGCTCCAATCGCCACCCCAAAGTCAAGTGCCCGAGGGGTCGGGGGAAGGGATGATGGGACTGCCCCCCCAACTTTCCCCGGCCACAGGGACATCATGAAGACCTTCTAAATCTTTTTCTAAAGCAGGACGACTCCTGCTTTTGTTGCAGCTGGATCCTCCCAACGGAAACGGCAACAAGGAAAGACCCTGCCCAGGTGGCTGGCTGACCCCGGCTCCGCCACGGGGGACAGAGCGGCTCCCGCGCCTGGCTCACCCCTAAAGGGCTGCGTGCCAGCGCACGGCCTGCATCTGTTCTGGTGTCGCCACGTGCGAGACGGGGTAACATGGAAGAGGGTTGAACCCACAGGTGGCTGGCTAGCAGGTTACGGGTCGTGGGGAACTTCCTGCCCTAAGAGCTTCACACCCACTGCCCCTCTGGGACCCCCTCCAACCCTCTCGAGTGAGGGTCACAGTCCGCATTTGAGTAGGGCCACGGAGGCACAGAGAGGTTAGGCAACTTGGCCCACGTCACACAGCGAGGGCAGTGCCAAATCCACACGGCACCCGGTGGCCTGGCCCCACCACTAAGTGCTGTGCCCCTCCCCACGGACTCCGGTCCCCTGGGCCCCCGGCAGCACTGCGAGCGCGGAGCCCGCAGGGGGCTGCGCTCGATCTGGCTGAAGAGTGGCCAGCGGACGCAGTGTCAGGAGGGAGCACGTGTGTGGGAGATGCAACAGGAATGCTGAAAAAGCGGCAGATTTTCACATCCCAGTGAAAACGCACAGGGCCCTCTCTCTTAAAAAACAAGCTCGGCAGTTTATAAAATTCAGTGGCGACCAGCACAGCCGCACCTTACGGCCCTGCCCTGTGCCCGGCCAGCCGAGGGGACCCCTTTCCTTTGCCATTCCCACTCGCCCGGGGGGAGTTCCGGCTGGAGCTGCCCATGTGGGCGGCAGTGGCCCCGCTTCTCCGAGGAACCCCGGGGAGAGCCCCCAGCCGTCCCGGGGGCCACTGGCCCTGAGCGGCCTCTCTTGGGAAGGGGACGCCGCGGGCGTCTGGCTCTCCCTCCATCAGGAAGGGCTCTGCCCGCTTCTCCGTCACGCCCAATTACTGGCTCCCAGAAGCATGGTTTTGGCACCCGGGGCAAAGGCCCACAGCCGCTCTCGGGGACTTGGCCTCATGGGCGGTGGCGGTTCCCTCCCAGGCCCGCCCGGCCTCCCCCGGCCTCGATGAGGTCAGCGTGGTGAGCCGCCCGACCGCGCTGGCGGGTGGCACATCCCTGGGAGCGTGGGGATCAGAAACACCGACAGACATCACACGGCTGCCTGGTAACCGGGTGACTCAAACACGGGCGGAATGAGAGCAGGCGGGGCAGCCGCGCCTGGGCCGGGGCTGGGGCTCCCTGTGAGTTCCGGAGCGACGGGAGGGGGACCCGGCGCCACCCACTCACCTCCTCCTCTTCGAAGCCGGTGAGGTCCCAGCGGTAGTTGAGCCGCATCTGTTTCCGCTTCCAGTGCTCCATGAAGGTGGCGGCTGGGGGCAGGGGGGAAAGCGGAAAGTCAGGGGCCCGGCCGCCCCCCGAACACCAGATGACATAAAAGCTTTCTCCGCTTCTGCACCATTTGGTGAGTGAGGGAGACGTGGTGCTGGGCCCAGAGCGTGGCAGGAATTAACCCCTTCAGCCCTCCCAGCCACCCCGAGGCAGAGCCGACCCCTTTTCCATTTTACAGATGCAGACACTGAGGCACGTGGCGATCAAGTCCTAGCCAAGGTTACTCATCCAGCCAGGCAGAGGCCAGGCAGGCTGGTCCCAGAGCCTGGGCTCTTAACCAGCCTGCTCCATTGATCTTGGGGGGGCCCCCAGGCCACAGGTGGAGTTCCTGTGGCCAGAAAGCGCGAGGGGCGGGCCAAGGCCACTCGCTGAAGCCTCAAGCCCACGCACGTGGCCCGGCGGCTGAGCTGCACTCTCGGGAGCCACATCCTGCTGCGTGTGTTTCCAACACACTGAACACAGTTCAAATGCCGCCTCCTCCAGGAAGACTCTGACCCTTCCCCTAGGTTTCAGGAAGAAACTAGCTCCTCCTGGGACCGCTCCTGCTCACGGTGTCCACACTGCGCTCCACCACGACCCCTGTCCCACGTCAAGGGGCCCTTCTGGTGTGTGAGGCGGGGCGGGGCCTGGTTCACTCTGGGCTTTCTCAGACTGTGGGCCTGGGAGCCTCGGTATCAGAATCCCCCGGGGAGCTTTGCTAAAAATGCAGATTCCTGGGCCCCATGGGCTATGTCCGGAACAAGCCGTGCGGGTCGCCCTTGAGCACGAGGCGTGTGGAAACACTGACCTGTCCATCGCCTGTCTTCCTTCCACCCATCCCCGCATCAAATGAGCTGGCCGCATCCATCCCACGCCCGGGCCCTGTCTCGACCTGTCCACACTTCTTTCCACCCGGGCCTGACTCCAACATCCCTAATTCTGGCTGCCTCCTCCGCTGGCTACGGAACCCCTCCCCTGAACGCGGCTGCTGTGACCTTGGCATGACCTTGCAGCTCCACCGGATGCCCTTGGCTCAGCCTCCCAGCTGTCTTTTGCGCCAGGTGGATCATCAGAGCCCCTCAGACCTGATGCTGGAGCCCCAGAGGCCACAGGGGCTCGGCTCCGACCGGTCTGGGTGCCTCTGCAGCTGCGCACAGACCAGCCCCAGCTCCCCAGGGAGGTCGGAGCTCCTAGAGGCCGGGGTCTGGTCTCCCAAACCTGTGGGCTCTGGGTGCAGGCCGGGCTCAATCACTCAGACTCCGTTGGGGCAGGGCGACACCCTCTTTAAAATGCAACACAACCCCCTGAGAGTAGAGACCAGCTTCACGCACAGCGGTCCCCAACAGTCATATGTTTGCTCCACGACCCACCCATTTTTTGAGCGGAGACGGAGCCGCAGGAGCAGACTCCATCCTGCCTGCAGTGCTCCGTGGGGACGGGACTCAGGCACAAAGCTCCCGAGCCCTTCACTGTCTCACCGAGTCACCGGGCGCCCCCCTTATTTGTCCTGCGGACACGAGGTAGCTCATGAACCCGCCACTGGCCTTTTCAATTCCAGCAGGAAATCACAGCGTGGCCCTCCCTATGTCCCCACCCCGCTCAGGGCGACTCGGCCGTGTCACCCGTCCAGGCCCCTCGGACCCCGGGGAGGGGGTTTCCATCCTGCCTCTGCCATTTCATCAAAGCTGGGACCACCTTCCTCCGGCTTCTTAGAGCCGGGCTCAAGTCAAATAATTTCCTTTGTTCTGCACGACACTGACAAGCAGTTAAAACCCATGATTACGCCATGATTTCAGAAAATTGATCCCGGAGAAAGGCCAAACGGGGACTCAGAGTTGCTTCATGTGACACTGAATTTGCGGCTCTGAAATGTCAACCATTCCAGGCAGCAGGGAGCTGAGGTCTCTGGGACCAGAGCGCCAGCCCGAGAGAGTCGGGCCCCACCGCGCGTGGACGCGAGATCAGGACAGCAGGCTGGGGCCATCCCGGGGACACAGCCCGCTCCCCTCCCACAGGAACAGGCTTGGGGCTGCTCCGTCCCTCTGCGAGCGGAAATATTAACAGCTCGAGGACGGAGAAAGGAAGGAAGGACACAGTGGGTGACGAAACACCCGTAGGAAGACGGTCCCCGAGAGGGTAATGAAAAAATAATTGAGCACGGGATTAAAAAACCAGCAACTCAAGATCTCTGCTAATTATGCTCGAAAGGGAGTGTGAAAGGCCCGGGGACAGAGGGACTGTCCCCCCCTCTACCCTGCGCAGGGGCGGCCGGCACATGCCTCTCAGCCCAGCAGGCTCTTTCCCGCTGCTTCTGCTTTGACTTCCAATAATCTCCTTTTTCCTAAAGTAAGAGCTTCACGGGAGCGGTTGGCTTTTTGGTTATTTCCCCCTGCGGGAATGTGCAGACCGAACTTGCCCTTGACTGCGTGACGGGCAGGTGCATTTGTGTCTCCCGGGGGGAAGCGGAGCTGGAGCAGGCGGGGGGCAGACAGCGGGGGGCAGACAGCGAAACAGGTTTGCCCTTTCCCTCCTGGGGGTTGTGGGGGTGCGGGTGGAGCCATCTGTTTCTCCCCCGAGGATGGGCTGTTGGTAAGGGCTGGCCAACACCTCTGAGGGTGTGAAGCGGCACTGCTTAGCACATAGTAGGTGCTCAGTAAAGGAGTGTGAAGCAAGCAAGCTGGCCGCATGGTGCGAGCTGAACGGCTGGCTGGCTGGCTGGGCACCATCTCTACCCGAGTGCCCCTCACTGCCCGCTCTAGGTGAGTCCCTGCTCCCCCAGGAGGGCACAGAACAGGGCTCGGAGGACATGTGGATGGACAGCCGTGACGGGACATGGATCTGTCACATCTGTTATGAATCTGTTAGCTGTGTGATCTTGGGCAAGTCACCTAACCTCTCTGGGCTTCAGTGTCCTCATCAGAGACACTAACAGAGCCTCCCTCTGCTGTGCGCTGTTGTGGGGTCACTGGGATACGCTGCGCAGAGCCTCCGCCAGGGCAACCAGGGGGCAGCTTGCCGTGCCCAGGTCCGAGGAGGAGAGTGGACCCTGAGCTGACCGGCGCTAAGGTGTTGAGGAGGGCGAGGCAGGCTGGGGAGGCGGAGCAGCAGGCTATGGGAGGGTATCGGGGGGATGGTCCCCGATGGACAGAGGATCCAGAGAGGCGGGGGTGGGGTAGGGTGGCAGTGGAGGGGGCACAGGTCAGGGACACGGGGACTCGGATCCTGGACCTGACATTTCAATCCTCGCCTTGGCCACTCGGGAGTTCAGTGACCCCGGGCAACCCAGGAGCCTCTCAGGGGCCCCGGCTTCCTCACCTGTGAAATGGGCACAAGCAACCCATAGGGATGCTGCAACTATCTGATGAGACATGCACCCCGGGGTCGGCTCAGGGAGGAATGCGGAGCCCCAGGCACTCCCTGCTCTACAGCAGCTGCTTCCTGGGCCAAGAGACCCCGGTCCCAGGGGAGATGTTGTTTCTGAGAGCAAAGCGCCCTCCCCGGCTTTTCCTAAGGGGCTCCAGGCTGGGTCGGAATAGGTCGTCCGTGTCTGCGACACAGCGAGACCCTGGGAACCGCAGATAAAGCGGGGGCGGGGATGCTTCCACAACCTCCCTGCGCGTTTATCCCCGGCACACGCTGCCTGGGGACAGCCCCAGGAAGGAAAGCAGCCCCCCCGCCCCCTGCTGTGCTCACCCCAGAGGGCCATGAAGATGGAGAAGAAGACAGTGGCCGGGTTGTCGAACAGGTGGCTGGCGCGGGCCGTGGCGCAGGCCGAGCTCATCTTCCAGTAGCTGCAGGTCTTGTCGCACAGCGGGCACATGGTGATGTTGTGTCTCTGGTCGCACATCTCCATGCTG